GGTTCGAGGATGGCGCTGGTCCACATTGTATCGATCGTTCTATGTGTTGGCGTGCTCGTGGCGAGCGAGAAGGAGGAGGGGAAAGAGGAATAGGAAGAGGAGGAGGTGGAGGAGGAGGAGGAGGAGGAGACAGAGGGGATGATGATGAGGAGGAGGAGGAGGCCTCTCAATTGCTGTCTTGATGACTTAATGTAGCGCTTTTCGTTCGAGGATTGAGGCTCGTTGACGCAGAGGGGGGAGAAGGAGAAGAAGGAAGGGAGAAAGAACGGTTGGTGAGACGATGAGATGCCTCTCGGGGGCCTGTTGGAGGTATTTCTGGGACCTTGGGGGTCTCTTGGGGCCCGTCGGGGGCCTTTTGGGGGCTTTTTGGGGGCCTCTTGGGCCCTCCAGGGGACCTCTCTGCACCTAGAGCTCGAAATACCCGTTCGGGCCCCCGTCTGGGCCCGCTCTGGAGCCTCTTCGGCAATCCGTAAGCCGAAAAGGCGAGAACTCCAAAAACCTTCAAAAATTGAAAGGAAATTATTGATTTCTGCCTCTGGAGAGGTCTCTTGGAAGCCTCTTGGGGCGTCTTGAAGGCACCTTGGGCTGTCTGGAGGCCATCTTTGGCGTCTTGGATCGCTCTTGGACCGTCGCGCATCATGTTGAGCTCTCTTGGAGGCCACTTGAAGCGCTCCTGGAGCGCTCTCGGGAGCCTGCTTGGACCTGGCCGGGACGTCGCGGGGACCTGCCTGGGACCTTGCCGGGACTTGCCCGGGACCTTGCCAGGACCTGCCCGGGACCTTGCCGGGGTATTTTTCGTCCAGGGGCCCCCCGGTGTTACCTGTGACCAATAGCAGAAAATTTGAAGGCCCATTTATATGTTTTGATTTTCTTTCTGAGATTCGTAGGTCGGCGGTTGGAGAGGGCTTGTTTTGCCCCCCCAGATTTGGCGCGATCTCCACGTTGCGTTCAACTTGTGACGCGATTTTTTCATCCAAAGCCATCGGGCCGAAGTCGGGCCACCGCCACGTTGCGTCGGCCAGCCCATGAATATGCGCGATGTTCACATGTGTTGTTCCATCGCCACAACTGGAGAGTTCTGTCCTCCCCAATGAGGGCGTAGGGTGGGCCAAGGGCGATGGCGGGCGGGAGGGGGGGAACTGCCCCCCCTCTCCCTCCCTCCCCTCCCGGAGCATCCCGCCGTTCCCCCGCTCGATTCCCCCCTGTCCTTGTCGCTGCGCGCGCAGAAGGCGCCGCCCCATCTTGCGCGCGAGCCCGCGGGGGGGCCCTCGCGCGGGTCCAGTCCGCGGTTACATACATTGTTGTTGGGCAATTTCTTCTTGTAGCACCCCCGACGCCCCGCTCCTTGGAAGACGCGGCGACCGACGGGCGTGGCAGCTCTTTTCCAAGATTGGGGTGCCCAGTTCCGCATTACCTCCTAGAGCCCACGATACAAGATAACTGTATGGCTGCCTTGTTTTCCGCGAGCGTGCTCGGAGGTTCCGACGGACTGACCCTTGCTCATCTTCGTTCGTTTGATCGTTGGGTGGCGGCCGTGACGCCTCGTGTCGGTCCTCCTTCCGTCGTCCTCCTTCTCATCATGTTTTTTTGTGGCTCTTGCTCGCTTTCGTTAAATCGCTGGGAGGCGGAATCGCGCGGGTGGGAAATACTTTCGTCTCGGCGAGCGCCCTGTCAGCGTCGCCGAGGGGGAACCGTCGGCCCGCTGCGAAGGGCCCCCGAACCGCGACGATCGTGCCCCCCCGCTTCATCGCCGGGCCGGTGGCGGCCCCGCGCGCGCGAAGGAGAAATATTGTTAACCAGCGACCGGAGATCTTAGCGCGCCTGTGGCCCGTTGGGCCAGCGAATTCTTGGCGGCTGGGTCCCAGCTCGCGTTGAAACCTATGCCTCGAACCCTGGTCAAGGATCCCGTCGCCGCGTTGATCCTGGCGGACGCCAGGATCGGGTTTCGTTCTTTGGGCCTTTGGAGGCCTTTCTTGGGGCGTCCGCGAGGTGCCCCAGCCTTTTTGGCGGAGGGCGCGAGACTCGCGGCCAGGCCAGCGTCGATTGCCAAGCGCTCGCGAAACTCGGGCCAGTGGTGGCTTGGGAAGATGATATCTTCTGGAGCAATTTGAATGAGATGCTGTGAAGCATCCGCCGACGGACGAGGAGAAGGAATCTGTTGCGGCGGACAGTTCGGAGGGGTGGAGTCCAATGCATCAGTGTGCATTTCGTGGGCTAGCCATCGGCTCCAATTCGGCTCCCGCTGATGCCAGCACCGCTTGTCTTTGCATGACCAGCTCCCGCCCCATTGCTTCGAGTGTGGCGAGGGGAGTTGTTTCACAAACTGTCCAAGTGCCGTGCCTGAACCCTGTGGCGCAGGGACAACAAACCTCCCGAGGTCAGCCAGGCGACCTCATATTTCAGCACGGCTCGTATCCAGCTGCAGGAGAGATTTGCGCGCGGCCATCTTCCGAACCTCTGCCAGATCGTGACCAAGACGCATTCGAGCCCTGGTGCCGGGTTCCAGGTCGAGGGCCAGTCGGCTGCTCTGTCCCTCGAAGGGGGCCACGTGTTTTGTGACGGTTCGGGCTTCGACTTTGAGTTTTTTCGGTCCGAGTGGCAGATTGCGGTCTGCGACGGCCGATTGATTTCTCAGAAGGTTGGTTTGGACTCGTCATTCCAAGCGCCCTCCCTGTGCAGGTTGCCAGATACGGCGAGAATTATGCCATGCACGTGGCGACCAGGTTTCTGACGAAATATTTCGCCCTGTGCATTGGTTGTGTTGGCGCATTCGGGCGCTGCACAAACAGTCGCCGCATGACCAATTGTACCAATCTTAAAGCCCACGTGGAAGAACACCCAGGGGGTAGGAGGCCTAGGCGGCGCTCGTTTCAAGGCGTGCCAGCAAGCGATTCCGTGTACGACGCTCGCGAGGGCGAACTGGCTGAGTTAGAGGCGCGGCAAACGCAAGCCAGACGCCCGAATTAGCCAGGAGGGGCGCGAGTGCGGCCCAACTGCCTGCTAATGGCATCCTCTTCCAGTTGTTGTAAGCTTCGGGAAGGGATTCCATCATGTTTATGATACGTCTGGCTGAGACGCACAATGGCGACCTGGATGTTTGTGATACGTTGGGGGCCAGGCGTTTACCATGATCTCAGTTGAGGCCCCCTCAGAGGCTGAGCTGGTGGTCTGAGAGGGCAGCCTGGTGCGCGGGATCCAGGCACCCACCGAGCTCAAAGTCGGGCCTGAAACCGAGGCGGCGAACCCACCTGCGCCTGCGCCTGCGCAGCCAGACGGAGGGCAACCGTGGCTAGCTGATTGTCACACTCTTTGGGGGATCCGGTTCTCGAGACTTCGTCCAGCAGCCTCTGTTCACAGGGCTATGGCAGGGTCAGGGGGCCTTTCCAAAAAGTTGCTGACACGAGGAATTCTGATGCGTTCGCGAGGCTGGTGCATCCGAGTAGGGCCCATGAGCTTGGGTATCATCGCCTTCCTGGTCGGGAGACTCGGTTGCTGTTCGGGGGTCGCTTCGGAGGGACCCAAGTCGACCAGGCCAAGGCTAGGGACCAAAAGGACGTTAAGCCCCCCGTTTGTTTCACAGCACCAGCCTTTTCATGGCGGACCTGTGCCAGTGTATTGGCCTGAGCGAAGAGCGTGCCCGAGCCCTTGGCGGATCTGCCACTTTGGAGGCCGAGGTCGACTCCGACGAGGTGTTGTTTTAGGGGGGCCCTGTCGCGGGCCTCTTGGGGCGGGGATGGAAGCCGTCCCGGGGAATGACAAATTTCCCTTCGGCCCCCCCCCCTGGACTCTTTCTTCTCTGTCCGTTGTGGGCGGCCAATCCTGCGCCGCCTCTCGTCGTCGTCGTCGTCGTCGTCGGTCGGCGTCGTAGGACGAGGGTAGGAGGAACGAGGTGGATGATGATGGTGCTGCTGCTGCTACTGCTGCTGATGATGATTATAGTGATAATGCTACTTGCAGCAGCATCTACAGCGACGAGCTGCTGATGTTGATGACGACGTTGCTGATGGTGGTGATGATCATTATGATGGTTACGCTGCTACTGCACTGATGTTGACGGTGATGGTGACAATGACGATGACGATGGCGATGGCGATGACGCTGATGATGCTGTTGTTGTTGTTGTTGTTGCTGTTGTTGTTGTTGTTGTTGTTGTTGATGATGATGATGATGATGGTGATGGTGATGGTGATGGTTGTGGTGGTGATGCTGCTGATGACGACGACGACGGCGATGATGCTGATTATGATGATGTTGGTGATGCTGTTTCTGTTGCTGCTGCTGATTATGATGATTATGATGGTGGCTGATGATGCTGAGGATGCTGCTGATGATGATGCTGATTCGTCTAATCATGATGTTGGTGATGTTGTGCGCATGTTGGTTCTGAGGGCGATGATGCCGACCGCGATGCTTATGATGCTGCTTCTGCTTATGATCATGATGACGATGCTGGCTGATGATGCTGTTGATGATGGTGATGATACTGATTCTGCTGATGATACTGATGATGCTGATGCTGCTGACTGTGATGCTGATGATAATGATGCTCTTGATGATGACCTATGGTGGTGACGACGAGGAGGAGTATGATGATGATATTGATGATGCTGATGATGACGATGCTGATGATGATGGTTGTGGTGTTGTTGATGATGATGATGATAATGCTGAGTGTGATGATGCTGATGACAATCACGATGACGATGACGACGATGATGCTGATGATGGTGATGATGCTGATGATGATGATGATGATGATGCTGATGATGGTGATGCTGACGACGATGAGGACGAGGTGGAGGATGATATGGAGGATGAGGAGGATGGGAAGACGGATGAGGAACCATAATGTGGAGGAGAAAAGAGAAGGAGGAGGAGGAGGCGGGACTTGGAGGAGAAGGCTGACAGTCCTAGCTGATCAACGTCAGGGCAACTGCTCAGGAGCCTCCTTTCCACGAGCCCACGATGGCACGCCGAAGTGGGAACACAGCCCCCCGCAGGCTTGGAGCCCCCGCCCCGCGCGTGAGAGCCAGAGCCGCGCGCCCGCCGCGCGCGCTCGCGGCGCGGCGGAACAAAAATTGCTTCGTGCGCGGGGGCTCGGCGTCGTCGTCGCGGAAGGGGAGGAGGGAGAGGGGATGGGGGATCGCACTGTCTTTTCTCACGGCGCGACAAGCTTGCGCTTCATGTATGGCCAACGTCAAGGGGAAGGGGGAGGATGTGTTGGCTGGCAGATCATGGGAGCCTTAGCACCCTGGCGAATCTCGGCCTCAATGTACCGCTTTGCTGCCGTTCAGTGCGGTTCAATGTGGCCGACGTCAGTGCGGTTTAGTACCGTGTAATGTGGTTTGATGTTGTGAAGTGCGGCTTAGTGCGGTTTACGTAGTGCGGCTAAGTGTTGTTTTGCGCGGTCTAGTGCGATTTAGAATTGTTTAGTGCGGTTTTGTGCGGGATCTCGTCAGTTAGAGATCCGGTTGTCGTTTCGGGGGACGAAACGGCCGTCGCGTCCCGCCGCATTTGAAGTAGGGGAAGGCGCCAGAAACCTGAACATACGTATCAATAAAATTGAAGTGAGGAGAAGGAGGAGAAGGAGGAGGAGGAGGAGGAAGGGAAGTTGCAGCAGGAGCAGGATGAAGAACTGACACATGTATTTTCACCTGATCAGACCTGCCTGAAAACGCACTAGACCGCAATCGATGGGACTAAGCGAAGACTTCAATGCCCTAAACGAGGCTCCCATGATTTGCCACCTAAGATGTGGGATAGCAGCAGATGGAGGGGAAGAAGGGAGGCTGCGGGGAGGGAGGGAGGGAGGGGTGAGGGGGAAAAGAAGGAGGAGGAGGAGGCGAGGGGGCGGAGGAGGATGAGAAGGAGGGAGCAGCAGCAGGAGGAGGGGAGGAGTTGGAGGAGAAGGAGGAGGGGGAGAAGGACGAGGAGGAGGAGGAGGAGGAGGAGGAGGAGGGAGAGAAGGAGGAGGAGAAGGAGGAGGAGGAGGAGGTGGATGAAGAGGCGGAGGCGGAGGCGGAGGCGGAGGGGAAGGAGGAGAGACGGGACTGGGGGATGCGCTCGCGACTAACCAGGCCAGCGGTGTCCATGGCTGCCCAGGGGACCTGGGAGATTCAGAGTGCAGCGGATGCTGCCAGGAGGCGCTGGAGGTCGACGACGTGCGATGCGCTCCTCCCGCTTCCCGCCTCCGTCCGCCCTGCTTCTCTCCTCCCTCTGTCCCTCCTCCATGCCCCCCCGCCGTCTGGGCGATGCCTGGTTTTTGCTGCGTCTTCGCTCGCTTGCCTGTGCTGGATCTCGCTCGTTCGCTTGTGCGTGCTCTTCTTGTCCGCCTGCGCTTGCCCCACTTTTCCCCGCCCTGGGCACTTGGACGTGCCAGCGTGTTCTTTACCGGGCAAGCCGCGTGCGCACACGGGCGTGAGGCTTCAGCAGGTGTGTTCTCCTCTCCCCCTCCCCCTCTCCTCCCTCCTTCCTCCCTCCCTCCCTGGCCTCCATCCTTCCGTCCCTCCCCACTTCCTCCCTCCCTCCCTTCCTCCTCCCGCCGTTTTCATGCATTCCTCATTCGTCCACCATCCTGCCTCCTGTGCCCCTCCCTCCTTCCCCCGGCGTCAGCCGTTGTGTTCTTTTTTCCAGGGCTCGACCTAAACGGTGCTTAAGCGATCTCGTGGACCGGTTTCGTTTTGATCTCGGTTTGCAGCAAGGGTGGAACGAGGACAACACGAGGGGAATACAAACACATGACGAAGACGGAAAACACCGTTCAGGTCGAGCCCGGAATCCTTTCTCCTTCCTTCCTTTTTGTATAGTCTGATTTGCAGGTAGACCTGCAGGTTCAGTGTAGCAAGGGGGTACGTTTGGCATTTGGGTCTCTGTAGCCAAGTGGCTCAAGATCAGGCGTCCCGGGGGGCCGCAGGGCGGCCAGAACCGCAGTGGCCGGTAGTCCGAGGACTCTGGCCATTCCTCCACCTGCCCCTTCCGGGGCGGTAGTGCAGGCTGCGGTACAATGGGGGTGGGCTTCCTCGGGGCGCACGCAGTGATCTTGGCGGCGAGCGTTACGTTTTCGGCCCCAAAGGCGATGGGGTGGTGGCCGTTTGGCCGCGTAGAAGGCCCGAGTCCTCCTGCGCCGGCGTCGCCACCCATGCCCAAGCCGAGCCCGCAGCCGCGGGCGGTGGTGGGCATAGCAAGGGGCGGTCGCCGTTTGCCAAGCCTACGCCCGCGGGAGGCAAGGGGCGATGGCCGTCGCCCAAGCCCACCGCGGTCCCCGCCACCGCGGCGACCACCGCAACTCACCGCGCGAGCGGAGACGGCGGCGGGTTCGCGGGCCAATATTGGCGAGCCGGAGGGCAGCCCGCCCGCATCCGCGCTGGGCGGCCGACCCGCCAGAGGGCCCGGTGAGGAGGCTGCGCGCGGCGCGAAGGCCCAGCCCGACGACCCGGCTAACCTGGCGGGCTCTGGCGAGGCGAGCCCCCTTGCAGGCCGCGCGGACTGCGTGGGCTGGGTCGGATGGTCACTGGCTTGCCGGTCTGGCAGGTATCCACGCCAGCCCCGCCCCCGCCCCCTCCGCCGCCGCCGCTTACAGAGGAGGGCGCAACGGACTTGGGTTGGGGGTTCACGTCGTGGGCCTCCGAGGCGGCCGGCTGCGGGGCCTGGGCCAGCTCGCCGGGCCAGACAGGTTCGATCCGGTCACGCGGCAGCTGTGCCGGCTCGGCGATCGACCGGCTGGGAGTCCGGATGGTCGGCTACTGGTGGGGGGCCGCAGTCATGCGCATTGCTTTGGGCTTGCTGACGTTCGTGCTGGGCGCGCCCGCGATCGTGAACATGGCGGCGCGGCCCTTCCTCTGGATAGTCAGCGGGTCACGGTGGCATTGGTGCCAGCTGACATGGATCTGCCGACGTCGAGGAAGGGCGGGCCCGGAGGCCCCCTCGCCCCCGTCGCCGCCTCCGCCGATCATGGTCCGTTGGCGCGGACCGGGGCGCGGGGGGGCAGTGGAAACGGAGTTCTTTGCAAGGGGGTCCGCGGTCGGGGAACCAATCGGGCTTGCAACCGCGCTTCCTTGCGGAAGCACGAGCTGCAGCTTCGACTCGCGCTACCGACTATAGACATGGGCATGACATCAGGGTCAGCCAGGTTCACGGGTGCACCAGCCGTGCGTGGCGGGCCAACCTCGAGGAGACCGGTAACATGCACCTGTGCCGATCGGCCGCATGCGAGGCTTGCCCTGTGGCCCACCCGATGCATGTGGATCAGGACTCCGTGATCGACCATGCCCGGATCGTGGACTTGGCGGAGCATGGGGGGGCCGCCCCCAGCCGGCCTGCGGAAGCTGGCCTCAGAAAGGTCTTCGGCCTTCTCTGGTGGCTGTGCTTCGGGCAGCTTTGGTCCGCGCTTGCGCGGCTGTGCTGGGGCCGCCCGGGCCCCATTGCATCGCCGACGCCGCCGGGCTCAGCGAGGTGGGCAATGATTCGGGGGGCGAATTGTATATAGCAGCGGAGGAGCGCCCGTGCCTGGCCGCCCAAGTCGGCGCGCAGTCGGCAAATGGCGCGCGCCCGCTACAGCCCGAGGGGCGCAGCGACCGCGGGGTGGCTGAGCCGACCGTGCTCCTGGAGGAGGACGCGGAGGTGTCGGATGCGCAGCGGCCAGGGCCCGGTCTCTCCGCCCAAGTGTACCTACCATGTGCCCACCGCGCGCAGAAGTATCGCTCGACCCTGGCTGGTCGGGTGCAGCCTGCCCACCTGCCTGCGAGCGGCGAAGGGGAGCTGCGGCGGCGCTCCGATGCGCGGGGGATATCTGCGATTGGACGCGGCAACGGCCCGGGTCGAGGCCGCCGTCCAGCCGGGTCTCGTCGGCGGGCTCAGGAGGCGCACGCAGCGGCGAGGCGTCAGCCCAGCCGCCGCGTTCGACTGGGCGGCACGCGGGGCCGAAGGCCTTTCGACGGTCGAGGCGCCCGCCGCGGGTCAGGGTCCGCTGGCGCGTAGATCGCGCCGCCGGCGCCCCCCCCCCCCCTTGGCCGCGCGGGGAGGGGCGCCGGGCCCGCGGCGCTACCGAGCCACCAGTGCCCGCGACGGGCCCACAGCCACGACGGACGCGATCCGCGGAGACGCGAGGGGCGGATTGCTTGCCAAGGCAGAGGGCAGGGGGCGGCCGAGGACAGCATCGCCCACCTGGGTCGCGGGGGGTGGCTCCCCGAGCCATCCCCCGCCCAGCCCGCGCCGGGGCCGCGCGGGCGGGGCCGCCGCCGCCGCTGCCGGCTCGGACGGAGGCCGGGCGCGCGCCCGGGAGCCCGCGCCCCCGGGCAGGACGAGGAGGCCGGGCGGCCGCCTGCGAGCGCCCCGGGGCGGGCGGGCTGGAGGGGCGCCGCCGGCGCGCTGAGCGGGAGAGGGCCGGGGCCAAGGTCAAGGAGGCCACCGGCAATGTGAAGGGCGCGGACTTCTCCGAGGGCAAGGGCAAGAAGGGCGCGCGGAGTTCGAAGGGCAAGGACAAGCACTTCACGAACGGCCAGGGCGGCAAGGGCGGCAAGGGCCGGCGGGCTGACGGGGGCGGCAGGGGCAGCAAGGGCGGCATGGGCCGCCGTGCTGACCGGGGCAGCAAAGGTGGCCGGCAGGACGCGGGCCCGCGTGGCGCGTCGCTGTGAGCCCGGGGCTGCCCTCCCTCTCGTCGCCTCTGCGATGCGCGCCCGCGCCCCGCGGGCGCGGCTGGCGGGGCGGCCCCGGCGGCTGCGGCGCGCAGCTGCAGGGGGGCCCAGCCGGGGCGGCCTGGCGTCGCGCCCCATGGAGGGCCCGGGGATGGGGCTGCGGCTAGTGGCCGCGCGGAGCGCAGCCCGCTCGTGCGCCCCGTGGGCTGCGGCACTCTCTCCGGCGATGGCTGGGCGGCCGCGGGCGCGCCAGAACGCGCCCGCGTGCGCGCGAGAGGCGCGCGCGCGGGCGCGCGCGCGGGCACGGGCGGATGGGGGGCTCGGCACGCTTCGCCGCTGTGCCAAGTGAGCGCTCCTCCCCTCTCCTCTCTGCTGCCTCCCTCCTCCTCCTCTCCCGTTTAGTGCGCGCGTGCCTCGCTTGACTTGTTTACTTTGATTAGCAGGTGGGCTGCAGGTGAAGTGTAGCAAGGGAGCATTTCAGGCATTTTGGTCTCTGTAGCCAAGTGGCTCAAGATCAGGTGCCCGCCCGCCCCGCTTGCGCCCCCGCGACGCCTGCGGTTTCGCCCTTGAGCCAGGCGGCCGCGAGCGTGCCAGAACGCGCCCGCGCGCGCGCGAGAGGCGCGCGCGCGGGCGCGGACGGAAGGAGGGTCGGCGCGCCTCGCCGCTGTGCCAAAAGAGCGCTCCCCCCCTCTCCTCTCCGCTGCCTCTGCCTCTTCCTTTTCCTCCTCCTCCTCCTCCTCCTCCTCTCCTCCGTGTCCATTTTTGGCTCGAGACGGGCGCGCTCCTTCTTGACTGCGGCTCCTCACTTCTTGTGAGTTCGGTGCTGTATTCTCGTGGCCATGGCGGCCCGCGATGATGGTAATGTGGCCGTGCGGATGAGCTGCCTTTCGGACCTGCCCAACGCCCGGGCAGCGCTCGGGGCTCTCATGGCGGCAGCGGGCCCAGGCGCGGGGCCCAAGGCGACGGCGGCGCTGGCTGCGGCGGCGGCGCGCGGAGCGGCCCAATGGGCGGCCGCGGGCAGCAGGCCAGGTGCCGATGCAGGAGGCGTCGACCAGGACCCCGTCGGCGACATGGACGCAGTGCTGGCGAAGGTCAAGGCTGTGTCGGGGCACGCAGGCGAGCTGAACGTCACGGGCGCGAAGCGTAGCGTTGGCTGCGCGCCCCACGGGGCGCGGAGCAGCAATGCCGCCGCGCGGCTTGGCAAGCTCAGCAAGCTCCGCAACGCCCGGCCCCATCCGCTCGCGCTTTAGCTGCTCGTGGAGGTCGGGCAGTTGGAGGAGGCTGCTGGCAAGGAGAAACTGAAGATGGACGACTCGGAGATTTCCGCGGGCCTCGAGGCGGGCCCCGCCCTTCCCAGAGAGAAGTGCGGCATGGGCGTTGGGAGGGATGGGCGGGGGCCGAGGCCTGAAGAAGCGGACCAGTCGGAAACGGCGGACGAGTCCTCGGATATGGCGGACCAGTCGGGGACGAAGGGCCCCGATCGGTAGTCTTTGGTGCACGTGGGCTCGGTCTGCAGCGACGGGGGCGTGAAGGTCCCGGAAAACATGCGGTTCTATGGGGAGAACGATTCCGAGAAGCCAAGGGAGGAGAAGATGCCCCTGGGAGTTGGCACAGTGGTCCAGAAGACGGAGCCGCAGGCCCTTGAGGAGTACGGGCATCGTCGTCCCAGGAGCTATAGGCAGATCAGCAGCCGCGAGTCCCCCGATATGCAGGAGAGCGGCATGAAGGCCCTGGAGAAGGCCAGTTTCCGTGCAGAGGTCGGGGAGCTCGTCGGCCAGATCGGGTTCCTGTACTGGGGATACTCAGCAGCCATCGCGTCGTGCTCGTCTTCGACGGCCGCGGCAGGCTGAACTGAGCTCGCGGCGCGTTCGGGGTGCGGAGGCTCGTGTTCCTCCTGCGCCCTTGCCCTGGCCGCGCGGAGGCTCGTGTTCCTCCTGCGCGGCCAGGGGTCCCGCCAGGGGGTGCGGAGGCTCGTGTCCCTCCTGCGCCCTTGCCCTGGCCGCGCGGGGGCTCGTGTTCCTCCTGCGCGGCTTGGGGTACAGATCTCGAGGTGCCCTGTGCGGAGGCTCGTGTTCCTCCTGCACGGGGCGCGCTGCCCTGGACGTGCGAAGGCTCGTGTTCCTTCTGCAGTCCAGGGGCCTTGGAGGAACAGGGACGAGGTCCCCATGGGTCACTCTTCGGTCACTCCCCCTCCTCCTCCTCCTCCTCCTCCTCTCCTCCTCCTCCTCCTCCTCCTCCTCCTCCTCCTCCTCCTCCTCCTCCTCCTGTCCTGTTTAGTGCGCGCGTGCCTCAGTTAACCTCCGCCTTCCCTCCTCCCCCTCCTCCCTCCGTCCCTCCTTCCTCCTCCGTCCTCCCTCCCTCCTTCCTCCCTCCTCCCTCCTTCCTCCTCCTTTCCTCCTCCCCTCTCCTTCGCCAGAGCAGGTGGCGATGGCGGGCCCCTAGGCAAGCGGTGGGCGCCGCCCCCGCCCCCTGGGCCCCGCGCCATGTCGTGCTGCGACATCGGGGGGGCGAACGGGTTGCGCGACCCCTCGGGGGAGGGGGGGGCATCCACTTAGCCAGGGCCCAACTTCTGCCCAATCGATCTTCGAAATTTGTTGCAGGCCACACCCTCCCCACCCCGCTCAGATTTCCCCCCGCGGGGCCACGCTCATCACGCAAAAATCACACCGCAACGAGGGAATTTGGCGCGCCAGTTACGTGTGCGATCATGTGCCCCTTCGATCGCGAAACATCCTGGCTTTCACACCGATGACCGCCGAATGCCGCCGAAGACTGTGTCGGGCCGCCGAAGACCGCCGAAACCGCCGGAGACCGCCGAAAGACCGCCGAAAGACCGGCGAACAACCGGCGAAAGACCGCCGAACAATCGCCGAAGACAGCCGCAATACCGCCGAATACCGTGTCGGGCCCCAGCTCTCGCGGCAGGGCGCGCGCCCGCTGGCGGGTTTCGGTAGTTTTTCGGCGGCCTTCAGAGGCCACGATGCGTAGCGAGGGGTCCCACCCCCCATGGCTTTTGACCATGAGATTCTGGTCGGGTGGAATCGGTACGGCTCGATGTGTCCATTTCGGCCTGAACGACCCGATTCGGTTCCGATACATTGGCGTTCCGCGATACGGCCCGATGCCCGAACGGCGCCGCTGTGCATCTTGGCGCGGGCGATCCCATTTGACTCTTCGCTTCGTGCGGATATTCGGCCCGATCATCGACACCTTGTTCCGCAGATGCGGTCCGATTCCCCGATAGGGTGCTGACCGATGACCGATCCAGCCGAGCCCGTGCAGGCCCGTCAGGAGTATCGGCGCTGGTATATCCGTGGTCGAAGACAGGCCGAATCGGGCATAATCCTGGGGAGGCCTGCTGAGCACCGTCTTGCCCGATTTGTTCGGGGCCCAAACCTGGGCCTGACCCCAGATGATTCAGCCCAGTGACGACTCGTTCTGACGGAAGACTTCCAGGAGTTGCCTCCGAAGGCCCAGCCTGGGCCCAGATCCCGGGGGGCGTCGGCCCGCGACGGGGGCGGGGAGCGGGACGCAGACCCACCGCGGTCTGGGCACATCATGCTGGGCCCGTGGTCGTGAGCTCCGCTCCAGAGGGGGAGGGGTCTGAGGCTCGGGGGGGGGGAGAGGAACATGGGAACGGGGGAGGAAAGGGCAGAGGGGAGGGGAGGGGAGGGAGGGAATGGAGGGTACGGTCGTCCAGGGGGGGATACCATCGTGGGGGCCTGGACGACCCTCCTCCATCATCTCTTCCTTCAGCAGGGCGTTGCCCGCGCCAAGCGCTGAATGTATTCCGGGAGGCATCTTCTTCCCCTCCTTCTCTTGGGGCTCTCTGGCGGCCCATCCGTTTTCGTCACAACGTCGTCATTGCGCCCGCACAATGGGACTAGGTGGCCATTGCAGAATGGACTGGTAAGTTATGCACTGTCGCACGCGTACTCCTCTCACCAGCTTTGGGGTCTATGATAAGTGCTACAAGTGCAAGCTCCATGAAATAATGTGCTTCAGGTGTGTTGTGCCACTCCCCGAGGCTTTCAGCCGCAACAAGAGGAGACTCGCAGGTGTGGTCGGTGAGCAAGCACATTCGGCGGCTCTGGCCAAACTGGACAAGCGCCTGCAGCTCTTGGGGGGCAGAGAACGAGCGGTTACGGGCACCTCAGGGTGACGGCGGCGCAGCCGTCATGGAGTCTAACGGGCCTGCGGAGTTACGGATGATATCAACGTTGCGGTCAATCATGTGCAGTGGCTGGGGTCGGCTCAGCTGCATTGGGCCGCGTAGCCACTTCATCACGCCCGATATCAGCTTGAGGCATCACGTTGGACGCTGTGTGAGAACAAACCCCGCCCAGCGAAGCTTACAGCGCTTTCATGCCGAGCAGTTCCAAGCTCCAAAAGGCCGAGCAGGATGAGGTCCAAGCCGACAAGGTGTTGACCAAGGCCCAGAAGGCCGCTGCAGCCGCTGTGCGAACGGTGGAGGAGCGGACTAATGCAGTTGAGCAGCTCGAGGAGGAGGAGGAGGAGGAGGAGGAGGAGGAGGAAGAGGAGGAGGAGGTTCGCGCGTTGTCATCGCAGCCTGCTCCACATCAGATGGACCTCGCGGGTTCCGAGATCGAGGTGGACGAGGCGAAGCTGCTCGAGAGCTTGGGGTCTTTGAGGGCGTCGCCGACGCCAGCAAGCTGGCGCCGAAGAGGGCGGGCGGAGGCGCTCAAGTCTCGTGCTGCAGAGCTGCTGGAGGAACCGCCCGATAAGAAACCGCGGTTTGCCGAGACTGGTGCAGGCTTTCAGCAGCAGTCGCAGGCCATGGAGTGGAAGTTCGACGGATTCTATTTGGAGACGCTGCGCCAGGACCTGGCTGCCTTTGTCGCCGCCAACGCTGAAAAGTCTGCTTTGCGCGCCCAGGCTTAGCAGCATGGTGCAGGCGGATTCAGACCGCCACGATTGCACAATCGCAACTACGCATTGCCCCCATCGGGCCCTCGTCCGATGTTCAAGGGGGCCAATGTTACCGAGACCGCAGTGCCCAGAAGGTCACGTACGGCGGCTTGGAGCTCCCTGGCTACATCTGCCCTCGCCACTGCGAGATTGTGAAAGTCGACGTGGGGGGAGAGCTGCTTCTGCCTCTCTGCGTTGGCCGTCGCGCAGGCGCAGACAGTTCATATCCACCCAGCGTGGGAGTTGTCGACGAGCGCGGTCTTGCTCATCTGGCGGGCGCAACGCCCGGCAGGGGTTCAGCAATTGATTTGCGACGAGGCCGCCAGCATCCGATTCAGTCGCCTCGCGCGGCCGCGCGTTTCGCCGTTTCTTAGGATTCAAATTCAGGGACCGCGACCCAATCCCTGTAGTTGTGCGTCCCCGACCAGGGCGCGCAGGCGGACGTGCTCGTGACGCGGGAATTGCGCCTCGCGGGGGGCGAACATATTCGTCGAGGGCAAGCGTGGGCGAGAGGCTGAGGGTACCGCCTAGAGTGGCGTCCGTCGTCGCAGGTGGCGCAGCTCTTTCTGCGTCCGGCGGCGCAGGTTCGCGCGCGCGCCCGCGTGCTTGTTGCCGAGCACTCCCCGCGCGCATGCATCCTAAGTCCCGCTCTGAGTTTCAGAGGGCGGCCCTGGGAAATGCGTGGATCCTCTTCGTTTTGGTTTGCGGGGGGCGCGGGGGGGCGGGCCGGCGAGGTGACGCGGGGCTTCTTAGCGGCTGCAGCTTAGGCTCGACGAGCCACCTGCCCGCCGCCTTCCATTGCGGGGGCGGCGGGATCTCGGGGCGGAGCTGTTTTTGGCCAGCAGGTTTTGCGTGGTCGCGCGCCTGCTGCGCCCTGGGATCGAACGCGCGGGGGGGCCGACCTGCAGTGCTTCCGGCGTCGATTTCTTTGCGCTCGGTGACGTGCAGATCCCGCTCGCGCGCAGCGTGGGCTTCCGCGAAGACGCCCGGGCAGGGCCCCGCGCGGCGGTCGCCCTCGGGCTGTCGGGCGCGAGGAGGCGCATTTATGTAGTGTGAGAGTCCAGCCGGAGTCTTTCAGGCTCCCCCCAAAAAGAAAAAAGGTTGCTTTCGTTGCTGGCGACATTTCCAGTTGGCTAAGTTTTAAGCTCTTGGAGGGCGAAGCGGCGAACCAGCCAGCGCGTCGAATTTTCCGCGCGGGTATCCTGTCATTCTTGCGCGCGATAGGCCTCGCTATTGCGGTCGCTCTGAAGGTTGCCGCCTGGGACATTTTCAGATGTCTTGCGCCTGGGGGGAACTGTCGTCGCAGGGCCAGTTCCGGCGTCCAAAAGTGGCCGTCGCTCCTCAGAGCGACCGCGCAGCGGGTAAGGGCGCAAGAGTCGACCGCCCCCGGTCGAGCCGATGCGCCGCCTGGCGCTGTTGTGCGCGCGGAGGAGGTTGGGGGCGCGCGGGCGTCTGGGGGGGGGGGAACGCCGCTTGCAAATTCGCCCTCGGCCCTCAGTGGATTTCCCAGCTGGCGCTCGCGGATCATCCCCCCTGCGCTGGGTTTCGAAGCCCTCCGGGCCACGTCGGGGGCCTGGGCCTCGCTTTGGAAGGCGCCGCCCAGAAGTTCGGGGCCCCGCCCCCTCTCGGAATCTCGGCATTTCTCCAGGTGCCGTTTTCCTTCCGTCGCTCGAGCCTGAGGCTGTCGAGGCAGCTCTGGGCCCCAATGCGTGCTGGTCTAGGATCGGGCTACTTTCGCTCCGGGTGGATTGATGGGCTCCCCGAGGCCTTCGTGCTCGCCTGAATTGAGATTATGCGCCAGTCTGAGGCTGGGCCAAAATGATTTGTCCTCTGGCTCATCTTCGATATCTTTCTCCCCAGCCCCCATGGGGGGAAGGGCCCGTCGGCTTGCTCTCGCTGTCCGTTCGGACGTGGTCGACGTTCCGGGGCGGGGTGGTCTCCTAGTGGGAATCCAATTTGCTCGACGAGTTGCGCTCGGGGCCCATGGCGCATCGTCTCGCGACAAATCCGCCCGGGCGCGCGGCGCCCGGGCCGCGGTGGCCCCCTAGTTGGGCGCTGTTAGTTTCAGTGATGTTGTCGTTGATCTGAGACACTTCCACGAACTAGTCAGCCGCCGAGAGCTTCTGTGCGCTGGCAGGGATGCTGGTTTTCAACTGGTCCTCTCGAGGCCCTTCGTGCTTTCTGCGCAGGAGGCCGAGGCGGGCCTCGTGCCAGCGGCCGGTCTCATGCTGTTCTCTGGGCCGCGTACGTCGAGTGCAACCTGATGGGGATGGGTGGCCCATCGGTGATATCAGGATTCGCGTCGTCGGTGGCCCCGCCCTCGTCGAAGCTCGTCGGCCGCGGGCTTTTTGATGCTCGTGCGGGGGGGCGCGGGGCAGGCGGCTTCAGATTTCATGGGCCATGGCCGTTTTCCGTGGGTTTCGTTCGCGTGCTCGGCATCTTCGGCCGGGAGCGCACTTGTCTCTGCGCGCGAATCATGTCGCAGAGGTTTTGGGGGCGGCGCAATTGGCGGGGGGGGGGGCGCGGATGGGGGGTGCGGAAGATGTCAGCCCGGGTGTCCAGGTTCTCGGAGTTTCTACAGAGGGCCCCCCAGAATAAATGCGCGCCGGGGGCGGGGGGGGGGGAATTAGCTGCGCGTCCAGCGGGCGCCCCGGCCAATCCCCCGTGGGTCCTCAGCGTTCGTGGGGTTGCTGGCTCGAGGTCCAGTGGGCGGGAATGTCGTGCATGAGCGTGGGCAAGAAGCTCTTGGCGTCAGCGGGCCTCCTGCTGCTCGCCGCAGAATGGCCGGCAGCGGGGCCCTTTGGCGATGCGACGGCGGGCGCGGCCCACGCCTCTGCCGTCGCCGTGAACCCGCGGACTGTCGCGTGGGCGTTCGTGGGGGGGCTCCTGGAAGAGGCGCGACTTTTGCTGGTGGGCCCGCGGCGTGGGGCCACGCGGAAAAGCCCGATCATGCCGCCCCCCTTCGCTTCGCGGAACAGGATGGTCGTGGGTTGGCGCGCGCGCGATCGGGGGCGACGACGAGCAGCTCTGGGGTTTCGGGCCACGCCGCCCGCCCCCCCAGTCGACGAGCCGAAACCCTTCACATCAGTAATTTTGGGTCTCGGAGCCCACAGGGCGGTTTTTCATGTTTTCCAGTCGACGTTCCATGAAGCCCGATGTCATTCCGAGGCCGCGCGTCGAACGTTTTCGATGGCGCGTCGCGTTATGCGATGTCACGTGCGTTGGGGTCGTCAAAGGCTTGCGTGCTTGTTGCGGATCGGTTGATGTGGGCTGGGGTTTCTCAGGATTGTACATTTGCTTTGCGCTGGGGCGGTTTCGACCCCCATCCCTGGCTGATCCACCCCGCGGGTAACGTCGCAGGAAGAGTTCGATGATTTCGTTCGTAGTGCCAGCGATGCTGTCGCGGACATTGACCGCGCCACGGGGGGGGGTCGTCCAGAAATTTCCTAGCATATTGCAGTGTTGGTTCTTCGTTTTGAAGAGACACCGCCCCGCGTCATTCCTTCCGGCCCCCTCCCTCGTCCTCCCTCTTCGCGTATCTGCCCCTGCTCTCCGCGTGTCTCCGTCGTCATCGTCCATCGTCATCGTCGCCATCACCATCATCATCAACATCATCAGCATTCTCGTCGTCTCCATCATCAATACCACCGCCATCCTCATCAACATCATCAAAACACCCCCCTTGTTCCCCCGCGTCTCTGCTTCGCCACATCCCCCGCAAGTCTCGTGGCCTTGCGAGGTGCTCCACCGAAGGCCCCATCGGCAGGGTCCTTAGTGCGCCGCCCAGCCCATGTTGGCACGCCCCTCAGACGCTTCGTGTCCCCATGAGGAGCTCATCGGAGGTCCCGGCGGCAAGGTCCACATGCCGTCGCCCACGCCACATTGATGACACCCTCAAACATTTCGTGCCTCTATAGGCAGCTCCACCAAAAAAAGGTCCCAGCGGCAGGTTTCCCAGGCCGCCGCCCAGCATATTTCGGCATACGTTTCACACGCTTCGTGGCCCCACGGGGAGCTACACCGACGGCCCCACAGGCAGGGCCCACAGGCCGCCGCCCAGCCCATTCCGTCATACGCTCACAAGCTTCGTGGCCCCATTGGGGAGCACCCCCGATGGCCCAAGCGACGGGGTCCACATGCCGTCGCCCAGCCCATGTCGTCCACGAGTGGCGCCCAGCACGGCTCCAAGAGCGCCCCAACAGGCGCCGAGTAAGTTGCACCCTCATGCAAATAGTTGTTGTCACTTGTGGGGGTCCTCTTGGGGCCCTCTTGGAGCATTCTTGGGGCCCTCTTGGAGCGTTCTTGGGGCCTTCCCGGGGCCCCAGTGGGCCCTCGGAGGGCCCCAAGAACGTTCCCCGAGGGCCCCAAGAGGGACCCCCCAAAGTGGTACAAAGAATTCGCGCGAACGTGCAATCTGTTGTAGGCCTTTCGGGGCCCTCTGGGAGCTCTCTTGGGGCCCCCATTGGTGGCGCCTTGGGGCCTTGGGATGGCTCCAAGAGGCTTCGGGATTGCCC